CTAAGCGTGGTGGGTCATGGCCCAATCTCCCTATTCCATCCATAGGCATTCCATGTCCCCACTGCTGGGGCACAAACCTTGCCCCAGCAGTGGGGACATTAATAGGCTGATGATGATGATGAACGACTATTCTTGGAGGAGCTCGATGACTCAGGTGGTTAGCGCGTTCGGCTGCGATCGTTGAAGTAAAGCAACTTTCGCAGTGATCGGTCATTGTATGGGTGACCAAAAATCTTCTATCTCTAGTTCATCCGTTCTACTGAAGGCACGTTAAGCCGTTTCTCCCGGCTGCTTCTGCAATCCTTAGCACCCTCCAATCCTCACTGGGCCCGCGTATTGGGTAATAGCTCAATCTCCCTATGCCATCCATAGGGAAGGCCTGTGCCCCTAACATTAATAGGCAATGAAGATGATGCACGACTGTTAGTCACTGGTTTCGTTACATACTTGAATGTTTTGGTGTAAAGTCCAAAGAAAGTCGATTCAAAGGCTAAATGTAATACTTTGTTATTTTTTTTTGAACTTAATAATCGAAAAGTATATTCACTACTGACAGACGAAAGTGGTATACTATAGACAAGATAAGTAAGATTCACTCCAATATACTATTCCCAATAACAGAAAGCTTATCGTAGCTTAGTTGCTGAGCTACTGGTATTACTTTTTTTTCCAATCCAATTATTAACACAAACACCTTCACTAAACCTTAATAAGCCTGTCATTTCTTCAGGATAGTTTATCGCTAGATAAGTAAATGGCAAAAGAAGAATGCTTGAGATCGTTTGAAGGAAACCCCTCAATTTTCTTTCCTTTTTATTTACCGATTAAGCATTTATGTATTCTATATGCAATACATTTATTATCGTGTATATATTATTGAAAATAACAGGTGGTTACATCCTCATTTAATGCGATAATCTGAATGTAAAAATATAAAATAAAAACCAAGATTTATCATTTTTGTAAAAATTAGATAAATGCTCTACTAAAACCCGGAACACCAATAAAATGTACTAAAAGACTACTAAAACCCGAAACACCAACAAAAATCTACTAAAAGGCTCTACTGAAACCCGAAACACCAACGAAAATCTACTAAAAATCTACAATATACATTGGCATTCCAAAAAAGGTAATGACTGCGATTCTCGGTAACCTCTCGTAGCAAACCAAATGTAACGGAAGGGTCTCCGTCCCGTAGTCCGTAGCACAGCTGCGAGATTTCGATTCTTCCCCCTTGGCTTAGATTGATGGTCTGATGAAACTAGGCAGAGTGGGAAAGAGCGGGATGTTTTGTTCCCAATGTTCAGATTTATTTGTTCCAGCTGTTTTAGTAGGCTAGCTGGCCCAAGCATAAACTTTGAGAGATCTGTATTTATATCGCCAACGTCAAAGTTTCTATGGAAAAAGCTAGTGTGAAAAAGAATCTGTCAAAATACATGTATCTGCATGTGAAATGACGTAGGAACACTTTATACAGAAGTATTTTTTTTGGTTACAGAAGTAACTGTTGCGCTTACAGGTCTAAACTGTTTGATGAATTTTGGTAAAGATATAAAAAGGGACCTTGGAGATGGACACAGACTACTTTTTTGTTGCAATATTTTGTATAGAACCTATTTATTCCAAAGGGACGATGTGTATCCTAGTCCTCCGCTAGTTTTACCATAAAATAATAATAGTCTTATAATTTTTAAAACATTTCTACCACATAACTAGGGATGCTTGGTGATAAGGTCTGAAATTATAAATAACAATTAAACATGTAATGCGAAATGCTAAAGATGATCGAAAAATTTGTGGCAAAGTAATAAAAGTTACACTTTAAAAGGTAAAAACTATTCATACTCTTCGTTTTTCTATCACTCTCACGCGATCACATCAGATGGGGTAGCAAAAATTTATTATGCATCGCCTTCTATCAATGTCCCATAAAGCATAGATTTATGTTCGAGATGAACGGATAACGAATCACACATAAATAATTCCGTTCACGTAGGTACCAACTAACACGTTATAATAATATTTGCAATACAGCCACAGATAGCATTCGCAAAATGAATTTTAAACAGTGTTTTTTTAAACAAATGAATGATACACTATTGCCTTTTCTGCCTTCGCTTCCCTATAAAACTAAATGTTTTTCTACTCGGGTTCGTATAATGCAGGTATACATATATACACGATCTTCCTAAGAATTTAATTAAGTGATGGTGAAACCGCTTGAAAACCTGTTTGTTAGTTTTTTAAATCATCACGAACGTAGTGACAGACGCGGCGAATGAATTTGTTTTATAAAGTAGGATATTAAATATTTTGAATGCACATCATTATGTAATGAGATAAGGCGATTTTTTAAATTTATTTCTTTACTAGCGGCCGCCTGCATTAACTTTAGTTGTTTGAGGTTCCCACTACCAAATTTCATCCAAATCCGTTAGGTAGTTTTTACGTGATTGTGTAACAAACAAACTTTACCATTTATAATAACAGTAGGTTTCAACAAAGAAAAAGAATTCATAACCAGTAATTAAAAATATTTAACACCTTCCTTCACACTAAATATACTTTCCTTACATTCATTTACTGCGATGAGGTACGAAACCAACTAAATAACTATACGAGTAAGTTCGCGAGCTTATATGAATCTCCTTAAGTAACAGTTGACGGATGTTAGCAAACAGCAGCTATCTCTAATATCCGACGAAATTAGACTACATTAAAGTAAACAGACCGCGCTGGGGTTGTACGAATACATTGTTCATTGTATTCGGCCATTATTTTGATCAAAAGGATTTTAATCGAACACTGTACATTTTTTGTACAATCATCTAATTTACTGGTGATACAGCGTTTTTACTCCCGTGCTGGATCAGGCGTGAAAGGGAAGCTTCAATGTGCCGGTTAATAATTTTTATTCTTACGAAACAGATAACTTAATAGTTATGACGCGATTACACTAAGTCGTTAGCCAGAATACGAGTGCCTATGAAATTCGGACAAACGACTGAGTGTAAATGAATGAAGTCGGGTACGCCCGTATTCATTTCGTTCCAACTTGTACGCGGGTGCAGGGTTGTTAGCCCGTATTCCAGTACCCGAAAATAATGTAATGAAATGAAAAGAAATGAAATGAAATGAAATGAAATTTATTTATTCTCACAAAACAGAGTAGATACATTTTGGTGGTGATTTTCATTTAGTTCGTCCATTTTGCCAACGACAGGGCATGTGAATGTCAAACTTAATTTAATTCTAAAATTTATAGGTACTTATGTCATTTTACTTATTGTAATTATTGCTTTGGGTGCTCGAATTCGAGTAATGGTTTTCGTGCACCCGAATACGGGCTAACGATCAAATGTAATTGCACCATCTCTTACGGATAAAATAGTTCGGGAAAATGGAAAAAGGTACTGGGCTGGTTCATTTAGTTTTTGTGCAATAACTGACTCAACCTGAATTGTGTTTCGAACTGAATGGGTACTTGGTATTTGATATGATTTAATGATTGCTGTCTGCCTTCCCAAAGCAAAGAGGATACTCATCTAATAAAAACTTTAGACCCTTTTTCTTTGAAAGTTTCTTTCCTTTTAACGCTAACCCTTTTCTTGAAAAAATAAATAAAAACAGAAGTTTTTTTTCGGTAGACATTATTTTTTAATTATATTAATTATTTACAGGAACCCAACTTCTTGCTTGCTGTCATTTTAGCCCTACATTGAATTCTGTACCCTAAGGCGAAAATCAAATGAGTTCAGCAGTGCTATTTTGTAACAACAAACTCACTTTTCACCTCGGAATCCGCGCAGTGATTAAAAATTTGAACACGGTTTTCAAATAAATTCCAAATCACACCGGCGAATTCCGCGGTGAAAAGTGTGTTTGTTCTTACAGATTAGCACTGCAGATCGTTTGTGATATTAAACCTTCAACTATTAACTCTTCAAGTAGTTTAGATTATTGTAAACATTTAAATAAAAGTTTTTTTTTACAATATTACCTATCGAAGCGCCGATAATGAAGTTGTAAGGTGTATTCCCGATTTATAGGTTAGTTTATAGGTTTTATTTTATTCGACTGTTTATCGTTACTGTATCTTTGAATTGTCTTATTGATGAACAACTGTCGCATCTATTCCTATTGGATCGTGACGACATTTTTATGGTTCACGGCAGTCGCCTTGTCGTTTACACATCAACGCGTCTGCGATATTTTCTAAATTTTACATCAGGGCTACGATAGATAGTCGCAAAAACAACACACGATTTGACGTCATGATAAGTTGTCAGGTTTTTACGACTTTCGCTGTAGCCGTTCCCATTAAGTTGACCTGTCGTCAGTGCAAAAAAAAGTTGTGGATGACACTTAATCGTATCGTCCTATATGTGAAAACCTCCTATGAAATAAACGAGCCACGACACTTTAACGACAGATTTGTCGTCAAGATATAATGGGAACACGCCCTAATTCCTTCATTAATTTTCACGGTACGCACCACAAGCTTTTAATTCCGATGTATTTCAAACACGATATGTTAGCTGTCATGTAGATATAAATTTAGCCAACAGTCACATCTTCCTTAATTAGGAACCCGAGGGACAAATGGTACCGCTGCTGTTGACACCGAGAGGGATAATATATGTAGGTACAACGTCATTTCAAATTGATTAATTGCTATATAACAAATATTAACTAGTAAAGGTACTCGTACATTATTCCAAAATTCTTTATAAAATGTATTTGTCGAGTGTTGTTAACGTCTTTCATCTTCGACAAAAGTTCAGCTACCGGAATCATAAAAAATTCAAATACTCTGCAAGATAGGGGGCATAACTTTTATATTATCTCGCAGAGTAGATACCTATTGGAAAATTTTCATGTTAAAAAAGCTGCAACGCTCGAGTAAATACAAAAATTCCCACTTGGGCTCCACTACCATACCAATTATTTGCATTTTTATAAATTTTGAATTATCTCATCAATATTATGTTTTCAAGGAGGAAGTGGAATCGTCATTGCGTTTAGTTCACGCCGTGGCGTCGGGCGCGACTGGGGCACTGTGTGTCACGCACAGGTACGGCCAGTTGCGAGCACCCCTGCACGCTGCGAGGTGGAACACGGCCAGGGCAAGGGCAGACCTTGCCGCTAACGTACTGCACCAACTGGGACTGGAAACTGCTGGTGAGTGACGAATACATAACGAGATAGAATCAGTGTAACTGTCATGTATGTGTGTGTGTCGTAGGCAGCAAACAGTCTCGCAATAAACCATTGCACCGAGCGCACGTCTTTTATTTAACAGTGGCGAACGAGGAATAAAATCAGTGATTTAATTATTGAATTATCAAAATGTCGGTTGGTCAAGTGCGTGAATTCGATACGAAATCGGGAAATTGGACGAATTATGTAGAAAGAATGGAAATGTTTTTCATAGTGAATAAAGTGTCGGACGAACACAAGCTACCTACATTAATTGCGGTAATGGGGGAAGACGCTTACGAACTGTTATCCTCTTTAGCAAGCCCGTTAAAACCATCAAATTTATCATATAACAGAGCGGTAGAATTACTTTCCGCCCATCTACAACCTAAACCTTCGGTATTAGCGGAGAGATATAAGTTTCGTCAACGTCGACAACTGCACAACGAAACTATAGCAGACTACGTAACGGAGTTGAAAAAGCTATCAAAAAATTGTGAATTTACTTCAAATCTAGACGAAAATTTGCGGGATCAACTAGTATGTGGCTTAAAAAGCGAGATAATAAGACAGAGACTATTTGCCGAAGAAAATTTACTTTACAATCGGGCCGTAACCTTAGCCTTGTCTTTGGAAGCTGCTGAGCGGGATGCGAGTGCGGTGGATCGAAATGGTACCGAAGGCGTTAATAGGTTCGGGCTCGGCGAGTGTGATAAGTGCGGAGACTTTAGACACCAAGCAGCTGATTGTCCATATAAAGATTTCGTGTGCAGTTGGTGTCGGGAGATCGGTCACCTAAGGAGAATGTGTCAAAAAAATATTACCAAGAGGATGGAAAACAATCAAAGGAATCGATCGAGATGGTCAGAATATGGCGGTAGTCATGACCGTGAGGCGAAATCATCGTCACGTGGCGGGCGCGTGACCAGTCGCGGTGCGGGCAGCAGAGGGCGAAGCGCGGGGCGCGGACGGCGCGGTGCGAGACGCTGGGACGATCGGACACGGATGCACATGTGGAGCGAGCGGGACGGTATAGTCGATAACGGAAGTGCGAACGAGACAGAAGAAGACATCAGCGAGTCTATACATCAATTGTCGCTAAACAATTATAAGCCGGTGTGTATTACCATTATGGTTCAAAATCATTTGTTAAATATGGAAGTCGATACAGGGTCGGCCTTATCATGCATTAGTAAGAATGTTTATAATAAATTATATAGCGATTTAGAGTTGAAACCTTGTTGTTTACAATTAAAATTTTACGATGGATCAGCTGTCCGGCCACTAGGGTTCATAGAAACGTTAGTTAGTTACAATAATGTAATAAAAAGATTAGATTTGTATGTTTTAAATAAGGGAACCACTAACTTACTGGGACGACAGTGGTTAGCAGAATTAAAAATACCTGTTAAAATACCTAAGCCTAACTTATCAAACCATTTCCTAGCCGAAAAGGAGCTGGACGGTAAACATATAATAAATGACATTATTTCTAGGCATAAGTCCCTGTTTGACGACACCTTGGGAAGATACGCGGGGGGCACAGCAGAGCTGTGCGTGCGTGAGGGTGCCGAGCCCATATTCTGCCGGGCGCGGCCGCTGCCGTATGCGCTGCGCGAGCGCGTCGACGCCGAGCTGGATGCCATGCTGCGCGCCGGCGTCATCGAACCGGTCGACCACTCGGACTGGGCCACACCACTGGTCGTAGTACGCAAAAGCGATGGTAACTTGAGATTGTGTGCAGATTACAAGGTAACAATTAATCAAGTTTTAGATGTTGATCGATTTCCGGTTCCAAAAATGGAAGATCTATTCAGTAATCTCAGTGGAAACTTATTTTTTACCAAACTTGATCTTTCCCAAGCTTACAATCAGATCGTTTTATCTGAGCATTCTAGGAAATATACGGTCATAAACACACACAGAGGGTTATTCAAATATTGTCGCTTAGTGTATGGACTCTCGTCGAGTCCGGGAATTTTTCAAAAAATTATGGTTAATCTATTTAAAAACGTGAATAACGTATTAGTATTCTATGATGATATTTTGATAAAAAATAAGGATTTAGGTAGCCATTTAAAAACAATTAAAGAGGTGTTTGATATTTTAGAGAAAAATGGCTTAAAAATAAAAAAAAACAAATGCGAATTTTTAGCAGAAGAAGTTCGATATCTAGGATTTATTATCAATAAAAATGGAGTGCGTGTAGACCCGGAAAAAGTGAAAGCAATCACCAATATGCCTCACCCCAATAACGTAACTGAGTTAAAATCTTTTATAGGGATGGTCAATTTTTACGGGAAATTTATAAAAAATTTGAGTATGTACTTATCGCCCCTTTACGATCTTTTAAAAAAGGGCAGACATTGGAAATGGGGAACAGAACAAAATACAGCCTTTACACGTATTAAAGGGTTTCTTTGTAGCACCAGTGCGTTAGCACATTTCGACATGAAGTGCGAAACGGTGTTGACAGTGGACGCGAGCGCGCGCGGCATTGGCGCGGTGCTGGCGCAGCGGGAGCCAGCTGCGCTGGGGAGCGCGCCCGAGGAGCGGGTTATCGCCTACGCCTCGCGCGCGCTCACCTCTCACGAGTTACACTACAGCCAGATACATAAAGAGGCACTGGCGATTGTCTTCGCTGTCGATAAATTTCATAAATACTTATATGGTAGAAAATTTGTCCTTCGGACGGATCACAAACCCCTTGTAAGCATTTTCGGACCTAACATTGGGATACCTACGGCGGCAGCTAGTCGGTTGCAACGCTGGGCTATTAAGCTGGCGGCATACGATTTTACTATCGAATATATACGAACGGACAAAAATACGGCCGATGTCCTTTCACGTTTAATTGAGTCCCAAAAAAATGAGTTCGTTTCAGCAGAAGCTGACTTACCAGAACAAACCTATTTACATTTTTCCTCAGAAGCATTGTTGTTAGATTATAATGTTCTTAGGAAGGGAACCCAGGGCGATCCGATATTAAGTCGCGTTTTAAGTTATATAGTCGATGGTTGGCCTTCAGATATCGATATCAAGGAACTAAAACCTTATTTTAGCAGGAAAAACGAATTATACTGTGAATTAGGATGTATTTTATGGGGTCATCGCGTAGTAATACCCTTTTCATACAGAAAAAAAGTAATTGCGGAACTTCATGATCCACATATGGGTATAGTAAAAACAAAGGCTTTAGCCCGTAGTTACGTGTGGTGGCCGGGTATTGATGAAGCGGTTGAGGCGGAATGCCGTGCGTGTGCTGTGTGTGCAGCGGTCGCCGACGCACCACCTGCACAAGCACCACACTCGTGGCCCTGGCCGTCAAGGCCTTGGTCTCGACTTCATATGGATTTTTTAGGGCCAATAGGTGGGTTAACGTATTTAGTGATAATAGATTCGTGTTCTAAATGGATCGAAGCGATACAAATGAAAAAGACAACAGCGCAGGCAGTAATCTCAGTACTACGGAATTTGTGGTCTAAATTCGGACTTCCTAAACAAACGGTCAGTGACAACGGTCCACCATTTTCGAGTTCAGAATTTAAAAATTTCCTTACCCATAATGGTATAGAACATATTTTTTCTGCCCCTTATCACCCGGCTTCGAACGGAGCCGCAGAAAACGCTGTTAAAATTATTAAGCGTGTGATTAAAAAGGCTTTTATACAAAACCAAGATGTAGAAGTAGCATTGAATAGGTTTCTGTTAGTCTATAGGAACACAGAGCATCCTACTACGGGAGACAGTCCAGCTCGTATATTACAGGGTCGAAGTTTACGTATGAGGTTAGACAACATAAAACCGGATAGGGAGCGTCGAGTGGGGGTACGGCAAGCGCGAAGCGAGCAGAACGCGGGCGGTGCACAGCGGCAATTCGTGCAGGGGGCGCAGGTCTGGTATCGTGACTATAGAGGCTCAGATAAGTGGTTAGAGGGTACAGTCATAAGACAAATAGGGAATAGCGATTACTGTATTGGATCTAGTTTTGGAACCGAAATCCACAGACACATCGACCAATTGAAACAAAGATTTACAAGTAAAGTAGGTAGTAGTATGAATGGTAGAAGTGTCAACCTTGATATAGTTAAGTCCAAGTTAGAACTTAATAAACAATCTCGGAAATCAATGGCAATCCCTATGACCAGTGGTGAGGAACCAGAACTGAGTGCAGATAATATCAATAATAAGTCTATTGCGGAGACGTTAAGTCCAATAGCAACATCGGGGGCAGCGGCAGTGGTAGCGCCAGGTGATGATGCTTTCGTGAGCAGCCCCTCGTATCAACCAAGTGTGTCGGTAGTCAAAGCCATAGATAATGTGAGTGGAGAGAACCAGGGTAGCCCTGATCGTAGTAGACCTTTAAGAATCCGTAAGCCACCGGGTCGCTATGGTTTTGAAGAAATAGATTAAGTTCTTAATATTACTTTTGGTTTAATTAGTAACATGTGTATAGGTATATACTTAAACTTGTATTATTGTCGTAACATGTCGTGGTACTTATAGTAAGGATATACAATGTACTTTAGTAAGTAAGATCTTCTTTAGTTATTAAGTTATTAGTAAAATAAGGGTGGAGGTGTCATGTATGTGTGTGTGTCGTAGGCAGCAAACAGTCTCGCAATAAACCATTGCACCGAGCGCACGTCTTTTATTTAACAGTAACGTTCAGTGCTCGCCGTGGCTTCAGGCACGACTGGGGATCTGTGTGTAAAGCACAGATACGGCCAGCTGCGAGCGCCCCTGTACGCTGTGAGGTGGAACACAGCCAGGGAAGGGTCGACCTCGCTGCTTACGAACTGCACCAACTGGTACTGAAGTCTGGAAACTGCTAGAGAGTGATGAATACATAACTGTCTAGTAGTTAGTGCTCGCCGTGGTTTAGGGCTAGTCTAGAACACACTCACAAGTACGGCCGGCTGCTAGTGACCCTGCACGCTGTGAGGTGGAACGCGACTTGAGCAAGGGCCCACCTCGCCGCTAACGCGCTGCACCCACTGGGACTGGAAAATGCTGATGCTGCTGGAGTGATGAATACATAACTGTCTAGCAGTTAGTGCTCGCTGTGGTTTAGGGAGCGACTGTGATGCACTCACAGGTATGGTCAGCTGCTTGTACTCCTGCACGCTGCGAGGTGGAACACGGCCAGGGCAAGGGCCGACCTCGCCGCTAACGTGCTGTACTGGGAACTGGGATTGGAAGTTACTAGTGGAAGCGGCCACCATTGCCTGTACACTATTGCGGTACCAGTAAAACAGTTGCGCCATTGCCTACTTAGACCGCATTCCCTACTTCGTACTCCGTGAAGACCTGGAACATTTCCCATCTACAGAGAAACAATAGCACCAACAGGTAGTATTATTTCAATGTGATTTTCTCTGAGGGTAGCTACTTTCCGAGATGGGTGCTATAATTGAAGCGAAAAGTCAGCTATGTCCTACATACCTCTTTCTTTGTTAGCTGTTATTATAAATGTATAAACAAAGATATTTGAAAATAAGTAACCATCGATGCGCGCATAGTAATCATATCACTTTAAATATATACAACTACTATTTTTTCAGAGGTCCTAATGGCAGTGTCCCAAGGTCTGGTTATGGGAGCCACTCCTGTGGAAAGGGCGGTCGGGTCCAGGGCGTTGGCGCTCAGGTCCGAGGATGGTGTGGTGAACAGCGCAGTGGCCTGGGAAAGATACGGCACAGCGGAACCGGTGGCTGTCGTGTCGCCGCAGTTAGAGAAACCTCCAGACCCTGAATATCCCTGGTAAGAAATAAATATTTGTTCCTTTAATAATTTAAACCCTATATAGTTTAAAAATTTATGGTTACTAGCAGGATTGCTGCCATGTACTTTGTTTTTATGTGAAGCTCCGATATTTGGGCGTGAAGTTAAGCCTCCTTCCCTCCCATAGGCGCGTTACCATCGGTCGATAATATCGGATGCGTTATTGCATCTCGACATGCTTCTATTGCGTCGTTATGATTGCAGCAGTGTTTAACTTCTTAACCGTTCTCATACGTAATGTACTTAAAACAAATGTCATTATAAAACAAACTCAATGGGCCTTACTCCTTTGCTTGAATAGACCAGCGTAAGTACGTACGGTCTGTGCTCGTAGGAGTTAAAAACAACTTTCGGAACAGCTAATTTTACCTTATAACACATTTTTTATATAAAGGTTTAGATAAACCCGGAAGTAGTGAAATCGTTTAAGCGATAGCTGTCTGTCACTCGAACTCATGAGGTCATTATCTCCAAACGTTTCATCTTCCGAAAACTACTTACTAAAAGACGCCTTTGTTACCACTTTATCATCCAAGTCACCCAACGCATCAATAAAGGGAATGACTGAACGAAAACCAACAAAAGGACATAGCTCACTAGATAGTAGTAGTATGTCCTTTTGTTGGTTTTCGCTTACTATACCGTACCTTAGTTACTATAACGCTGTATAGTAACAATAGGTATATGTACTATTTCTGAGGTTTTGGACGAACATTTTCAAGGAAGTAGAAGAGTGATAAAAATTTCATTAGTAGGTACCTAGATACTGTAAAGGTTTACGTAACTCAATTATACATGACGTGTGACTCATTATTTATTAAAAAAGACAAATTAAACCATAAAAGAATACCAAGCAAAAATTCATAGAAAATAAACATTATTGCAAATTATTCATATTAGCATTTATCATCGATCTGACTATTGGAAATTTATAGCCTCGTATGATGCATATGATGATTCTTCAACGACTGATTGGACGGGCTGCTGCACGGAAACTGGTTTTTAATGAAAATTTATTTGCGTTACAAATAAAACCATGATCTTTTCACATCACTGCCACCGGTAAATATTGAGGAACATGAAGATATATCACACCTTGAGATGAAATAATGAGAAAAGAGTGTTTTCTACTAAATTGGGGTAATTTCGGTTGAAACGTCCACGACGTCACATTCATAGACTAATATTGTATATGTCACATTTTTCCTGGAGCACATACAGCACTGATGTAAAAAAAAATCAGAAAGCACTGTATTTTATTCACAACGCCATCTCCATATTTTGCCTAAACTAAAGAGATAAGGATGCTTTCTGAAGCGTGCTAATAAGCAAAAAACCAGGACTGCCCACAAAAAACACTCAAGCTAAAGTTTGTCTGGAAAAACTTTTATGGTACTCAAGTGTCATGGGAGGATTGGGAGGGTACAAAGCCTTACAAAAGGCATCAAAACGTATTATACGTTTGTAGAGTTTTTTTATCATTTTTATAGTTATCGCTCGAGGAGCTCGATGGCGCAAGTGATTAGCGCGTTCGGCTGCGATCGTTGAACTTAAGCAACTTTCGCAGTGGTCGGTCATTGGATGGGTGACCAAAAATTACTACCTCGAGCTCCTCCGTGCTTCGGAAGGCACGTTAAGCCGTTGGTCCCGGCTGCATCTGCAGTCGTTAGCACCCACCAATCCGCACTGGGCCCGCGTGGTGGGTCATGGCCCAATCTCCCTATTCCATCCATAGGGAAGGCCTGTGCCCCAGCAGTGGGGACATTAATAGGCTGATGATGATGATGATGATGATATTTATCGCTAAAGCAAGGCTACAAAAACACTGCCATCAATCAACCCTATGCAATCTCGCAGGGTACCACGTTCAGTCCGCGGTCGGGTCAACTTATAAAATTATTATTTTTTATTTTCTCGGGTCTAGCTAATTATTTCATCGCAGTTTTTTCTCATTCTCTTAATACAAAAGCTTCAATTAACTAATTTTGAATAGTCATATTATGTATATGATGTTGTACAATATTTATTCAATGGATAGACTGATATTTTTATTACAGTTTATTTCTTCGTTAATAGCTGCATAACTTCTATCTAATCTTTGTAAAATATGTAAATACCTAATTGGTTTTTTAATGCGTTTTAGTGCCGCCCTATCGAGAAATTAAGCATTTTCTTATACGATTACGGCAGTGCTTTTGTAGCAAGACTAGCATATAAGAGGCAGGTGTAAGGTTGACATTTTAGTAGGTTTCACTTCTACCGCATATGTGAACAGCACATGTCCGTTATTTTATTTTCAAAACTAGTTACGGTGTTGTTTGATTTGAATCATACAGAAACGCGTAGGGAGATCGACACTGATGTCGATTCTGGCATGATTCTCTAAAGCTAAACTTAAATTTGACAACAGTGCATCTCTGTCATTCTCTATCAAAATGAAAAGGAGAGACTGATGTTAAATTTAGTTTTAAGTTTAGAGAATAACGCCAGAATCGATACCACTGTACTAACATTTGCCCAGACAGTGGTGTCGATTCTGGCATGATTTTCTAAACTTAAAACTAAATTGAACATCAGTCTCTCCTTTTCATTCTCGTTAAAGAATGGCAACGATACACAGTTGCAATCTGCAACCAAGAACGAGAACATTAAGTAAATTCCAAAACCGTTGGGGCAATTATTATTTTCTTCTTCTAGGTACGTGTCGGCACATAACAGTGAATCTCTCCGTTCTTCTAAGTTTATGCCTTCCCCTCCCGGGGTCACCATGGAGGGCTGGTGGACGTTCCCCTACTATAGTTGTCAAGCAAAACGGTGGTTACTTTCATATACGGTACCTGTAGCAACAGTACGCGGGTAAGGCATTATTTATAGTTACATATTATTTTACACTATTTATCCAAATGAGCTAGCAGTACCGACGGAAGCTAAGTTTTTCTGTCATTGGCCTGATCCTATTGCAGTCGTTACTCCGGTCAATGACTGATGACAGCCTCCGTTCTCGAAACTTGTGACACAGTTATTCATTTATGTCTTTGATAAAGGACTAACTTGACTCCACTAACTTGTTACCATATATAGAACGTTATTTGAATTTACGTGCTACAGTGCTCATATGTACCACATCGTTGCTTGACTTCAGGCGTGATCGTGGGCGTAGAAGTCAGACATAGTTAGTTATGCATGCAAACTATTTTTAAAGGTCTCATGTTCATTGCATATTTTTTCAGACTCAAAGGTGTTATATCGCTGGACATAGACATATCTACCTTGGAAATTAATCAATGTGAAGCAAACCCTGACTACGATAGCGATAATCAAATTTATTCTTTTCACGGCACTCACAAGTGCCCGAACGAGACTACCTACGTAAGTGTACATTTTCTTGACCTCGTATTATTTGAATTAAATGCTGCTTTAAACGAAAACAGAACACACTGATTAAGTTCGCAGTTTCCCAAAGAAGCTGCCTTTTTCTTCTACTTCCTTCACTAGTTTATTATTTTAAAAGATCGAGCTATGCCTTCATACGGCCCATCTGAGTCGGGATTCCAACTTTATAAAAATCGAGTCTTATCCTAACTTTATGTTACTCTAAATTTGCTTCCACGCTGACGACTTATCAGTCTGGGACTGGGAAGAAAGGCGGGATTCTTCCCAGTCCCAGACTGATAAGAATAAGCAACTTTTATTTTATAGATAGGTCCGACAAATGACTCCCACCCCACCTGTTGTTAAGTGACGTTAAAGTGCAGACGCGAAGATAACTGATTTAGCATTTCTACCTGACACACCAGCCATCCTCACCATGTCGGCCTGCATGTTGCTTCTTCACGCCTCTTTTAAAGGATTCCAGTTTGTAAGAGGGAGGTAACACGTGAGCGGACAGAGCATTCCATTTACGGATAGTGCGATAAAAAAGATGAGTCACCAAACTTCTTTGTGCGCGTTGGAAAAGTGGCCACAGTTAGTCGGTGACAACATATGCCGCGCGCGTGGTCCTCTGAAGGTGGAATAAGGGAGAATAACTCCTCAGAACACTCGCCGTGTTAGAGACTATAGAACGCGCTTAATGACGTCACAGCGTAATTGAAGAGGCTCGAGGTGTTTTCTCGCCTCCTCAACGCCTATGATGTAGATCGCGCGCTGCTGTAACTGATCCAAAGCATCGAGCAAGTACTTGGCGGAGCCATCCCAGAGCAATATTCCTCGCAAGACCGCACCTGCGTCTTATACAACAAGCACAGTTGCTCGGGCGTGAAAAAACGCCGCACCTTATTCAGGACTCCTAGTTTGTGTGAGGCCGTTTTAGCCACGCTTTCGTTGTAATTCTTTGAATTTAAGTCACAGCGAATTCCCATACCGAACATGGTGATACTGCTCTCTACCTTCAGTTTAATGCCCCGAAGAGAAGGAAATACAAGAAATGGCGACGTTTTTGCCATGAAAGCGCAGACCTGGGTTTTCATAGCATTGAACTCAACCAAGTTCTTCGTACCCCATTCGGAAATGTGGTCCAATGACAAGATTCCTGATTGACTGACATCATGAATGACAAAAGAGTGATTGAGTTCAATAACAAGATTTTCCTGTTTTTCCTTGGTTACCGCATGTCCAGCCGCTGCTTGTCCGAGATATCTGCATGCACTGTACTATCGTCTGCATAGAATATTCCCAAGAGGAATTAAGTCATTGATATGCAGCAGAAAGAGAATGGGGGACAGTACTGAGCCCTGAGGAACGCCGGCATTCACTGACATTAGCCGCGAACTACTCGTACTACCATCCATCCGTAAGAACACCAATTCTACGCTCATGCAGGAAGTCAGCTACCCAGGAACAGAACTGGGCCGGCAGACCGTATACCGTAAGCTTAGAGAGAAGGCTTTTGTGCCAGACCCTGTCGAACGCCTTGGCAATGTCAAGGCTGATTATAATAACAGTTCTGCTACATTAAATATAACTTAAGATTGAATTGACTAAGCTTTGAATGACAACTAAATAAATTGACATTGTAATTGATATATTTAACATTTATTGTGTGTAAGAATTACATAAATTGTAAATAAGTGACTAGTAAAAATGACATTTTAAATATAACGTAACATTGAATTGACTAAAGCTTTGAACGAGAACTAAATGAATTGACATTGTAATTAATATATTTAACATTTAATTGGCTATTAATAATTGAATTGTAATTTATATAAGTAACCACAAAAATTTGACGATGGGTAGGCTTAAAACCATCTGCGCTGTGCCTATTCCTATTTTCAATTCATATTTATTAGTTATATATAATGTTATAATAAGATATGGAAATAAAGCACTTGTATTTTTATTTTGTATTTGTATTTAACATACGCGGACTCCGCTCTAACCTCAACGCTGACCACCACCATCTTGAAACAGCGCCAGGACAGGCCAGCATTGTTGTTCCTGATGGAGACACAAATAATTCCGCCTGCTGACAAAGGCTACCTTAACTATCCCGGCTACGTTCCCGGATGTTTGTGTGTCTTCATCAGGAACAACAATGCTGGCCGCGCTGCCTCAAGATGGTGGTAGACTGCATTGAGGTTAGACTGTTTGAGGTCCAATTCTGCGTATGTTGCAGAACTGGACCTCAAACAGTGTTGAGGGCATGGAGGGGGTGTGCACCGCTGAACGTCCTAACTTTAATAGTAGGAAATGAAGATGCTAATAGTTTACAAATGAGATAAGGGCTGTTCAAAAGTTTAAAAACGAACGAAAACTAAATTAACTGCAGGCATACTTGCAATGCTAAGCTAAACGCTGGCAACGTAGTTTGATGTCTATGCATTTATTTTCAGTGTGACTACAAACCAAACAGAGAAATCAATGCACGGTACGCTGGATGGGCACGTGGATTGTATATCTGCAGATGTAGACCTGGTTACTACTCAATAAATCATCCAGAAGGATTTAACGGATCTTTAGTTGAAGGTTTGATAAATTTAACAATGGTGTCGATTCTGGCATGATTCTATAGATCTAAACTTAAATTTGAAATGTGCATCCTTAACTGTCCCTATATACAGTGAAAAGAAGAGACTGATATTACAGTTGATTTTTAAATTTAGAGAATCATGTCAGAATCGACACCAATGTAATTAGTGAAGTACCTAGGTACACAGTAATTAAAATATTTTTATGTATATAATAGAAGCTACAGAGTAAAAACTATAGTCCACACCAAAGCGAAGCGAAGGCTGGTCGTTCGTATTGTAAAATTGTGGGTAATGTGATTAAAAAGTGTAGTTTCATACAAACTTAGACTATCTTATTACAAAATGTTTAATTAAGTTAAACCCGGTCTTAAAAAGATGTTGTCACTTTTGTTTGCTAAAAAGAAAACAAGAGACAGCGTTAAGTTTAAACCAAGACTAACTTTAAGTCCACGAACAACACCTCACACGAACTCTTCTGAGAATGCTGAATCGATACATTTCGTGCTTAATACTCCGAAAAACATCAGAATGCATCCCACCCACTTCCGCATTTCTAGGTAAGAAATAAAAATACTACGGATGAGGCTGTATGGACTTAAAATGATTTGCCTTCAAGTAAACGTTGAATATTACAAAAAAATACGTCGTCTTATTTTAATTATTCTTAAATTTGTTCATAGTAGATATTGTGAAATAAAATTGGTGTGATTCTGTGTTACAACCGTCTGCGCAACTGAAGAATTAGTGGAATCTTTAAAATATACGCTATTCCGGTCAAGTGGACGTGAGCATTTTATTGTAGTGTTGACTACCTCACAGAAGCTTATCGAAAAAGCCAACTCGATACATTTCGTGCCAAACACTCCAAGAAACATTAGAATGCGTCACACCGACATTCTAATGTAAAAACAAAAAGAAGATTAATTTAATTAAAGACTAGGCTGTATGGGCATTGTTCCCTTTGCCTTCCCTAAAACGGGAGAACTTCAACAAAAAAAAAATTTCATGACTTCGCGAAGTTTGTTTTCTTGTATTTTCTTTTTACAGTTGCCTTTCAAGAATATGAAGAAAATGGCTTAGAAAATTGGAGTGAACCTTACGAGTGCTTAAAATGCCAGCCAGGATGCGAAACGTGCAAAGGGCCAGAGCCCTGCCTTGCCACTTACAACTGGCCATTTCGGTGAGTAAAAACAATGTGTACTTACTGCCAGAAAGATATCATGGCAAGAAATAAAAGCAAACAAAAGAGCCTTAAATATACTAAATCAATTCAAGTATCAAAACAATAATTCATAAATGACAGTACTTTTTCTTCCTTTTAATTTTTTCATTAACCTATACCCTACAAATTGTGTGTAATTTCAGGATATCTCTACTGGTGATATCAGTGAGCTGTGCTGTAATGACAGTGTGCCTCACAATCTACACACGTCACCACAGGAGGGTGAAGGTGTTCCGTGTAGCCAGCCCTGTGTTTCTGTCTATCACTTTACTTGGATGTGCCATCATGTATATGGAAGTAAGTTATTATAGTTATTGCCTTTGACATTGTTTCTTTACTAATTTGTTCCCTCAACCCTCAAGTTATTTTCTTGCCAAAAGGAGCCTATCCATTAACAGGGTAGATGCGAGACCTGCATCACTTACCAAAATTCATCAAAATCAATTATTTAAATAGGTCACAAAATGAAAATTTATTTATCAATCAGCTTTACTAATAAAATATTATAATTTTATTTAAAAAGGGCAACTATTAATGAACAGTTTCATAATGTATTCAATGTAATTATTACTGTAATACTGTAACTGAAATTACTAGAAACCATAACCATGTTACAGATGGCAGCCATATTCCCTGTACTGGACAGGTATTCCTGTATTGCTACAAAATGGACTCGGCATATGGGTTTCTGTATTACCTACACAGCTCTATTGATGAAAACTTGGAGGTAAGGTTGAATTGTTTATGTTAAGAGCCCTTTCACATTTTTTGCAAGAAATCGTAATTTTTGATCACCTACTCTATGAAATTATTTTGACTATTTTCGATACAAGTAAGAAGTAGATTTTGCTTTCTTATTGTAAGTTAATGTAGAATATTTGCAAATATTATAAACCTTTTTAGTACTGATTGTTCTACCGCACCTTGTTTCCTGAAAAAACAATAAAATGCACAATTTCAAATGCCTAAAGCTATGAATTAGATTGATTTAACTAGCTACATTATCAGAAGTATGTTCTTGTAATAACATAATATATAATAATAAAGATTTTCTATTTCATTAATTTTTAAGAAAACATCTAACCTCTGTGGGTTTTACTTAATAATGACTTAGGTTTACCTTGTGTTTTGATATTGAATAAAGTACAATTACTATTAAAAACTTATTTAAAACTAATCTACAATCATCAAAGAACTGATATATATATTTTTTATAATAACTCCATTAATTATTAATTTATAAGACCAAAAACATAACCCATATAATGCAATATATATTAGTGCACAACTACTGTATTCGCCGTTTAGTACGTTACCAGCGCTTTTCGAGGTAGGACCTATGTCATTTTTTACCGCACCAACCCCAGCTATTCTATGCTATCATGAACCGGCTGGATATACTACCGTAAAAGTTTGAACTTTGATTTTTATTTAACTAGCAGGGCCTGATTTACCCACAGGCTAAGAAGGGGGCGGCCGATGATCGCGGTGCTGAGCTGAGCTGAGACTTATATAATAAAAATATTATTATACTAGTGGACGCCTGCAATTTTGTTCACATTATCTTTATTTTTTTGAGAATCAATCCAGGTAATAAACTATGTGTGCCAAAGTTTATCCAAATTTGTACAGCCCTTTCCCAATTTAATCAAGCCTGGCCATAAAATAATGATACAGGTTATTCTTAATTTTAGGTCTCAAGTATAAATACTGCATTTTAAGTTAATCAAAATGCATGTTAAAATTCATTTATAGAAAAACTTGGGCACCCTCCAATGCCACCTAAAAAATAAAATACAAATAGGCTATGCTCTCCCTAAGCAGAGGAAAAGAAATACCTACCTAAATCAACGAGGAAATCTAATTTCGAACAAAATGCAGTTCCTTATATTACCTTAGAAAAGTGCCTGATCAAGGACTCAAAGCGATATGGAAAAAAAAAATCAAAATTTAACAATTGGTAAATTCAATCAACACACAACAACCCACTTTAGACCCACGGATTTGTCTTTTTTTTTATAAGTTGAAGTCGATTCTTAAGTCGAATAAAAAAAGCAAATATTCCTTCAATGTTACCAACCCAACCAATGAAGTTTTACAGCCACGTTGACATAAGCGGTTCGCTATCATAGACAAAACAGCTGTCCTACGTGTGTCACTAATATGAGTGTCAGTGTCACGCGCTGCTCAAAAACAACACTTTATATAATATAAGAATTTTATCACGGAGCTTGGCGGCAACTTTTTTTTTTAACGGTCCGCGCGTGACTGAACCAAGAAGTGCTTCAGTAGCGTTCAAGCACTTCTTAATTGGGACACATTTTGGGCGCACGTGGTGTATCTAGTTTATTTTATATCGTTGTAATTCGGTGCTACTTTCAGGATCCATCTTAGTTACTTAAATTCAATTTCCTTTTTTTACACTAAACTTGTTGTGTTGAATAACTTGATATTTACATACTAAAGTATCAAATTGGTTTGGCGCACTCTAAACATCGTCGTCTATGTTTCGCTCGTGCGACTCGGGCAGGCTCGCGGCCATATTTACCTAAACTGCTGCAGCGGAATTTTGTGAAAGGGCTCTTAACTTCTGAGATTCTCAGTTTTCTCAAATTTGGAGAAATAATATAAACTCTAGAGTTGCCATACCATACAAAGAACACAATTATTCAGAATTATTATATTTTTTTATTAATTATTCCAGAGTTTCTCTTACTTACCGTGTAAAATCTGCACACAAACTGAAACTAACAGATAAGCAGCTGTTACAATGGATGGCTCCAATACTTCTTATAATGTTAGTTTACCTTGGAACATGGACTCTCTCTTCACCACCCGATGCTGAAGATGTGAGTAAATATTAACATAAAATACTATAATAGGCTATTTGACAGTATGAAAAATAATGTACCAAATGTTGGCAACAGTATTTAATATTAAAATAATCAAAACTTTTCTATAAAGTAATTCATTGGAAATGTTTTATTTTTACCGAAAACGGCTGGGGCTAAACTTCCGGCCAAAGCGGCATTACATTGTATAGTTTGACGTTTTGATTACAGTCGTGTGACGTCACATACGCCGCATAAGCGAGACGCCATAATGTCCAGAGAAACGTTTTCGCGACAACTTGAAAATTGAATTTTTTATTTAGTTTTTTTCCTGAATTACACAACAGAATTAAAAATATCCACTTTACCACACAAACATTAGTAAATAATGAGAGATCGTTTTCTAAAACTTGTCAAATACCCTATTAAATTCGAATTTTGAAGTATAATCTGTGGTTGTAATTTGTCAGTGTCTTTTACGTAAACTTGACTACAGTCTGTCCTTAACATGCTTTAAAGCTATGAAAAAGGCAGAATAATGTCAAGTTAAAAAAAAATACGAATATCCAAGTGAGGTGCCATCATTAAAATGTCTGTCAGGGGTAAATTTTCTAAATTGGTCTCTTTTGCTTTCCCCTTCAAAACTCAAGGATACTAGTGTTATATTATTCCTTTCCCAACTATGAATTGAATGAAAGGGATGGCAGAAAGTGATATAAAATTTTAAAGTTGTCAGAAGTAGTAACATTAACTGATTATATTTTCAGATTACAGATAACAAAGGTTTAAAATTCAAGCAGTGCACATACAACTGGTGGGATCACAGTTTAGCTATAGGTAGGTAGGAAATTTAGATATTTAATAAAATAGAAAATAATATCAATACAGCAGATGCTAAATTATTCTTATATGTGGTGGCTATAGTTTGTAAGACATAATGTAACTTATTGTGTTCTAAATAAAGTTTACTGTTAGAATGAGAGCTGTATCTTCGAAACGATTTTTCTAGGTGAAATTTTGTTCCTGTTATGGGGAGTTAGGGTTTGTTACCGAGTCCGCCACGCTGAGAGCTTGTACAACGAGGCGAGGCTAATATCCATTGCCATATACAATATCTTCACGGTCAATTCACTGATGATTGCGTTTCAGTAAGTGGATTTACCCTACTTCCTAATTTTCATGAGGTTTTATTTATTTGGGGCACAATCAGGTGATAAACTGCTTTTCCAAAGGGTAAACACGAGGCTCTATTACTTAGACTCCACTGTCCGTCTGTCTGTCTGTCACCAGGCTGTATGCCGTTTTTTGCTCTATATTAATAACGGCATCAGGTAGACGCTTGAAATATTCACAGAATAATTAAATAAAATACCTAAATAAATTTAGTGGGGGCTCCCATAAAACAACAAATTTGTAATATATTACATAACAAACTCCGTAGCTGATTTCATTATGACATTAAATAACTTCTTTTGACTTTAATTTTGCAGTTTGCTCATTTTGCCTCGGGCAGGACCTGACATCAAATATCTCCTCGGCTTCATCAGAACTCAATTATCCACCTCAACTACAGTGCTATTTGTTTTCTTACCAAAGGTTTGTCGTGTTGCTATTTCAATGGCGCTTGGGCTTTATACATTTAATGTTAATCATTCACATATTAATGTCAGGCATGTCATCACATTGTAATAAAATACTGTTACATATTAATAATATTCTATCAACATGCCAATATTGTTGTAATCAATATCAAATAAAAAAATCATCATCAACCATACGAAGACCATTGCTATGCGTAAGCCTCCCCCAAATCTCCACGATGATTAGTTCTGACTGAATGACTGTTAAATTTGTATAAGCAAAGAATAAAATCGCCCAGAGTGCTGTTTTTTTTTAATTCATCGTCATTTAAACAGGCAAGAGTTGGGAAAAATGTCCCCGTTACGCTGTTTTAGGTTTTTGCGACGATAAAAGCGACTTAAGTCGTGCTAATTACGATAATGTGTCATCAGCTAAAAGTGTCTCACAGAAAGACGAGGCCTGTTGCCGCGGCCATCCCTTATTGGTCGATCGTGTTTGATCACTCTCTTACATTGCAAGCGAACACAACTGGCCACGGCCAGCCCTTGGCTCAATTCACACTGGCGCAGAGTCAAAGCGACGCGACGCGTTTGGCCTGTTGTAAAATCATCTCTATTTTACAACTATTAAGGAATTCTTAATGTACTTTTTAATAGCAAGTTTCGTGTTTTTCGTCTGTTGCAAATTCATCTCTATTTTTCCACTGTTGAGGAAATACCCAAGGCGAAAAACATGACGCGACACGACGCTTCTACTCTGCGCCAATGTGAATTGAGCCTTGTTGGTCGATAGTGTTTGAACATTTGCAAGCGAATACAACTGGCCGCCTCTGTCTGTGGAACCATAAGTGTTTCTGTATAAGCGAATATTACCGGCCGTCTCTATCTGTGATACATTTTAAGCATGCATTATTTTAAACATAAAATAAATAAACTTATTAAATCTTACTGAATCTTCAGTTTTCGTCTCCACATTTGTTATGTTGTAATTGTATTTCTATCAAAATATTTTGAATTTTGTGATGATAATATTACTATCGTCATTTTGATTATTTTAGATTGCCATAATTTTTATTAAGACATAATTATATTTAAATTGTTTTTTTTTTGTATTGTATGGTATTTTTATATTATTGTTTTCTTATTGATGTCAGTTAAGATTATGCAGAATAATATTCAACGCCTTGTTTTGTAATGCATGCGGTGGTGACCTTAAATTAATATAGCATCTTAGATTAAAACAAAAAGGGTAGATACGGTACGCTCATACTAGCAGAAACTAAGATATGATCCGTCTCAACTACATAAGCAACTCTCACACTCGCACACATCTGTAAATAACATTCCATCGAGCGATCGAGACAGAACTGTACGCTTCAACGCAGAGCGAGCGAAACGGGAGAATCAGCTTCCGAGTGCGAACGGCTAAGCTGTATTGTTGTCCTTTTCTTGATATCAAAATGGCGATTACGTAAATAACATTCACGACAAACCGTGACTTTTAAGAAAAAAAATATTATTCAGTTTTACGAATGAGAAGTGTTGCCGAGGCATTATATTTTGAACTATTTGTGTTCTTTATAAAAGCATCGAAGGCATTGTTTTATCTTTTTATTTTATTTTAACAATTTTATATTATAACAGAATATACGCAATATTGTTATATTGAGTGTACGTGCAGCGTATTTGATTGTCCAATTGTGACTACAGCGAATTGTGAACGTGCACCACAATTTAAGCGGATCACTTTTAAGCCGCGAGTGCCATATCTTCTTCCCTTTTTGTTTCAATCTAAGGATAGCATCTAATTATCGCCGATGCTTGTATCTTGTATTGGTGTATATGTTGTTGGTCCTCCTTATTGGATAAATGCAAATTATATATTTTGCAGGTACTCCGCGTAGTACGCGGCACCGGCGACACGTGGGATAGCCGCGCGCGAGCGAGAGGGGTGCCGGCGTCCTGCTCGCTCAACGGCATCGGTCTAGTGGCCGACGAGCCGCCCGATCTGTACCAGGAGAACGAGGAACTGAAGGTAATACAAAACTACAGAATTTACTCAACGATATTAAATACCCTAGATACATCAACACGAACAAAATCGTGCCCGAAACCTGACCAAAAGGTACATTGGACGATCCACGGACCTCCGTAAGATGATCGCTTTGTCAAAAACAATATAAAAATTATTTAAACATTGAAAGTCACCTTTAATGCATACCGTATGAGGTCTTAATAAAAACGCATGCGTCAAAGAGTTATGACAGTTCGAAATACTAGCTTCTAAAATTTTACGACTTATTGCTATATGCGGAAGAATATAGACCTTATTTCTGAGTCTCTACGCGCAATTCTGAATGCGCTGTTAGCAATATAGCAAGTACCGACCGCGAGGACAAGAGACGGCTATATAACCGACCATGCATTTGAACATCACAAATATTTTCTATGAAATCAGTTTATAGTAAGTATTAAAACAAATTTTGCTTCATGCATCTGAGGCATGTTGACTGACGGCATGAAAAAAAAACAGCTGTTTCATGCATTTCGGTCGATTAGCTGATCCACTTTTGCATGAAACAGATTTTTTTTCACGATTTCAGCGTTGGTCCCATAATAAAAGTTGTTCCTGTTGATGGGTAGAATCACTCCTTAAGAGGGTGTTGGTGTTTTAAAATTAACCCTGTATATATGTTTGGTATGTATATTTAACATATATAGTTATATACATTTTTTCATATCCCTTGTTTCTTTTATAACTCCACCGACTCCAGTTTCTTTCAATCCTCTCCATCCAAGGGTTGTCTGGAAGAAATCGCTTTTAGCGATAAGGCCACCCATTGAATCAGTATGTTTAAACATAATGTATTTACCCCATTTATGTACTTTATTGTGGTGTTTTAGATAAAGAATTGTGTATTGTATTGTACAATACAATGACATAATGTACATGTGCAATGTGAAATAAATAAATAAGTTTGAAGCGTAATTATATTTAGCCACTACGTTATTATAATGTTATTGTTGATCACAGGAGGAAGTACAAAAGCTAGCAGCTCAAATAGAATTCATGAAGATAGTACAGATGGAGATGCACAACAGACATTTGAGACCACGGCCAGGGGGATACTTCACCGCCAACACTACGGCGGGACCGCAGAGCCCCATGCATCCTAAAACTGTCAACATTTCACAGGTACATTAATAATAATAAATATTTCTAACTACAAACAAAAACCAAATACAAGGTACTCATTCCTGATTGTATAGTATGTCCATGGTTCAGAGGTAACTCGCGCGCACCTAATATATATATTATCCAATGTTTCGGTTACTCAGCCGCGACTTGTGCTAACTTCAGAGCCGTATGTGCTGCAAATCGTAATTGGCTCGACGCGCCAGATTTTAATAATGAATGTACAAATATTACCCTTTCAAGACACATGTAACTGACTACGCGTACCAACGTACGCTAATAGGTTTTTATGCAGCTGTTGTATAATGGAGGGTGTTAAAACATGGATGTGGGTCTAAAACTATGGGGCGTTCTATGAACTTAAAATTCACGGCGCTGTGGTACAGTGCAGTGCAGTGCGCGTAAATGACAATGTTAGTTTTTTGAAATTCATAATACCAACCATCCAGCAGTGAAAATTGTGGCTGTCTGATGAGCAAGCCCTTGGCGCGGAAGGGATTTAAAAAGCGAATAAGTCTTATTATGAAATTTATTTAAAAATAAAACATTAGAACACCCAACGGGTGTTGTGGTTTTTTTTATTATTACAATGGATGTTGTAATGTTAGCAATTAGCTAACTATTTCAGAATCTTTAAAAGCGGTTTTAAAGCATGGATGTGGATAAAAGCGCTGGCACGCCCGGCGAGTCACCGTCAGTCGGTCATTAGTTGCGCGTCAAAGAGGACGGGACCAGGGATGTTAGGGAGCTCCGTAACCGTAACCGAAACTATCGGATATCCGATATAAAAAAATATCCTTAACCGAATCCGAAATAAAAGTTTCTGATAATATCGGATAGGGGCCGAGCCTAATTGAGATACGTTGTGATAAGTTGTTTTGATCGGCCGGGTGGCGGCCGACACACAAGCCGCGCGCGTCCTTTTATAAGCTATTTGTAATTTACTTCTGAAATTCCTTAAAAATCAAATATCCGTAACTGAAATTATCCGAAACTAACGGATAATCCGAAATAATTTCATAAGTATCCAATCCGTATCCAAATTGCATATCCATAACATCCCTGGACGGGACACGCTCAGATACATATGGACAGCAGAATGGAAAGTCAAGCGTGTTCATCGAGTTTTCTACTCGGACGCATGGTGAATGAGTGGCGAGGCTTGCATAGGGATAAGGATCGATTGACCTCGCGTTCAGGTTCGCGGCGCGCATATCCAATGTGCGTGTGGACAGCGTAACTCGATTACACATTATCAAAAATATCACTCACGCCATCTGGACAATCAACCAACAAATTAAACATGCTATGGAATACGAACTGTGTTAAATAGTGGTTCCACATATAGAGCGATCAATGGACGGGGCGAAAAAAATACGATCACACGCTGACCAAAAATTTACTACTTCGAGTTCCTTCGTGCTTCGGAAGGCAAGTTAAGACGTTGGTCGCGGCTGCATCTGAAGTCGTTAGCATCCGCCAATCCGCACTTGGCCCGCGTGGTGGGTCATAGCCCAATCTCCCTAATCCATCCATAGGCAGGCTATTTTTTTGACCCGGAGAAATGCGTTACGCATACCCCGCCGCTGGACAGGCTTCGGGTTAAGTGGGACTTCTCCCCCACCTCCCGCCCACTCAGCCAACCCATAAGGCTGGCTCAGTGGCTGCTTAGGATGGGGGGGGGGGAACAGTTGGAACATTAATAGGCTGACGATGATGATCTAATGTATTCTAATTTCTAATCTAATCTTATTTATAAAAAAAAATATAGATGATATCCTTTCAATAATAATTTAGTCAAAATGGAAGGATCTAGTACCTATTATACATGCTCGACCTAGTTTAGGTACTAGTGTATTGTAAGTGCTATTTTATTGTATTTTTAGTTTTAAGTAGTATTGTCGCTTCTATTAGGCATTAAGAAAACAATTGTTATGATTTAACTATGTAAAAATGTTAGGGCAAATAAATTTATTCATTTATTGTTTTAAACTTTCATGGTCACTAATATTATAGCTATCAACGGGATTGTTACCATGTACCTTGTTTTTTATGAGTCTCCGATATTTTGGCACTGTTGCAAGCGCCATGATCACGGAGTAACTATTTTATTCATTTATTTATTCTGTTTCTGTTGTGGTCAGGATAACACCGAGTGGGCGGGCCCCGTGTGACTGGTGGCAGTGAGCGACACCGGCTGGTCGTGGCCGGGCCCGGCGGCCGCAAGCTACCGTAAGGCCCGCGACCCGCGCCCGCCCGCCTACGTCTAATGTAACCGCGCTACTATACGGCTAATAACTCACGGAGCGAACTCCACCCGCAACCTCCCGCGTAACGTCTAAGATGCTGCGTCCACCTAAGCAATGTGACACGCTATCTGCCAAGTGATCTGGCATATAACTTGCCACTAGCACCAACATTTAAAGTAAATGTCTGGGCTAGCACCCATTTGCGTGGCGCAGCGCGACATGCCCTGACGTGCCACTCAGCGTGCTACTAGTGACACAATGAAGTGGCGCGCAATGGGACTGGGCGGGCTGGTGGCGTTGAGTCCAATAGGTCGTGGCCGGGCTTGGCAGACGCACGGTGCAGTAAATCCCCACCCGCCTAAGTCTAACTTGACCTCCTGTCCGCACTATCATTCGGCTAAGAATTCACGGAGTGAAGGAGCAATATCAGATCACGTGTCACGATGCATAGGTGAGCAGAGCGCCTAATGTGACCTCCTGCGCCGGCGCCATCCTTCGGCTAACAACTCACTGATGTAATTCCACCCGCGCCCGCAATTGGTGTTGAATAGGGATAACGACCAACGATAGCTCAATTAAACGTAGTGTCCCTTAGCAGTAGTGTCGTACGCAGAATAACAGCGACTGGGCAGGCCCCATGTGGCTGGTCGGGGTGAGTCCAATAGGTCGCAGCCGCACGGTACAGTAAATCCCTCCACCAGCACCCGCCCGCCTACGTCTAACTTGACCTCCTGTCCGCAGTATCATTCAGCTAAGAATTCACGGAGTGAAAGAGCAATATCTCTATTCGCGCCCGCCGCGGATGCGGGGACGCAATTCTCGTAGAAACTGTGGTTTTAGGTACAACACAATAGGCTCTTTAACAAGTTTTCGAAAACGTTTATACATTATTGTATAGTGGCTCCATAAAAAGTGGATATTTATAATTCTGTGGGTATCAGTAAAAAAAACTCAAATAAAAAAAATATTTCAAATATGCCGCGGTAACGTTTCTCTAGCAAATATGGCGTGTTTATAGGCAGGCGACGACACACGGCTCTAATTAAGACGTCAAACAGTACAATGTCACATCCTTAGGATGTTTACAAGCAGGTGACGTCATTTTAGGCTCCGCCAATCCTAGGCGCTTTCGGTCACATGACAATAGATCAAAAAATACTTTTCTATTTTATGATTTTTAGTTATATTATCAACTTGCTTTTTTTTGTGAGAGGGTGCGGGTAAAATACGCTCCGTGAGTCATTTAGCCTCCATATGGGTTACTTTCTGTTGCCGCATCCCATTCTCGAGTATTTGTTTCGCTCTGATTTGTTATCACTCAACCACGTCTAGATGACACGCAAGAGATAAAAATCAAATTGAATCAACGCCTTCACCAGCTCATTTTGCGATACCCGTTGAACCGTTACAGATTTTCATAGGGTACTTTCAATCGCCAATAAGAATAAATAGATTCGCTCCACCCCTCTTCTTTATATAGGAGATATGCCCTTATTTGTATACAGTCAGTAAATAAAACTTTATAACAAATAGAATTGGGTATATACCTAGTTAGTCTATGCGCAGAACGCGTTTTCAATTCGTGTCATTTAAACGTAGTGATTTATGCAACAGAAACAAGATAGGATGCGTCCACATAGCGATCCGTTTTACAGGTCCGTTATACGATAGCGCATTTAGTTGTATGAGCTAGTTCAAACACGACAGTATACCGGATCTAGTAAAAAATCTCACAACTGAAATACTGATCCAGTAGCGTCGATTCCTCTAAATAGGTCCCGTAAATTTTGTATGTATATTAACTTCAGTAGCTACGGTTCCGTTAAAAAGGATCCTGTAACAACGGACGTTCTATGCATATGCGCCCTTAGCAGGTTACACCAGCCTTTGTTTGCTCGCTATTCTTCGTCTTTACTGAAAACCAGTTTTGTTAAGTCAGCGACTTGAATACGAATATTAATTTGCAATGAACTATAAAATAATATCAGACGCCCATTAAATAAAATCTTGCTCAGTCAGATATATTTATTTGAAATAAAATATATAACTTTAGGCTTTTGCCGAATGTTTGTTTTAATGTATTGATAAATTTTTTGACCGTTCAACTAAACCGTATTGTAACATTTGAATTGTCAAAAAATTTACGTTGTGTGCAAGAGTTGCAAAAAAGGATTGCCGCAGGATTGTGAGAATATGAATTAGTCGCCTGCAAAATGACAAAAAAAAACTCGCGGTAATTCTGCCGCACAGCTATAGTCACAGGCACGATTTGTCAGTAAGTAAATAGAACTGACGAAACGAAAAGAATTCAACTAACTTTTTAACCTGATTAACGTTCCAGCTGTAACTTTCTTTACAATATGTTCAACACGGCATTTTGAGAAGCATTAAATTTAATTGACGTCTGTAGTTGGCATTAATATAAATAATTACCAAATTGTTATCCAATTTAGTGTCGGAATCTTACTTTTTTCTGTTATTGTGAATGATTGTAACGTTGCTTGTGCCTGCCACAAACCTTTTAACAGCAACATTACCTTTAACTAACTGTGGAGAAATTAGTTACCTGACAAACGAAAATTGTACAAAACTATATAATCGATAAACAAGGGCGTCGCTCTAGGTGGGGGCCCCCGCTTAACTACATAAAGCTTTACACTTGTCGTGCTCTTACTCAGTTGGGTTTGAGATACAGAAATATTTGGTCAGGCAAGCGAGTCAAGTGAGGGGACTAAGAACTATGGTTTGCTTTACATTTGGCTACATTTTTCATAGCGTCTAGGGTCCGATCCCCCACCTCTGGCGACGCCCTTGTCCACAAAATCATTTTTGAAATGTCGTTTAGCAAAAACACTTAATTACAACCTCGTATAGAGTGAATTGTGTGTTTGTTGTGCTAATAATAGTTATATTTTTTTTATTAATTTTAATGTTATAATTTATCATTTTATTAGGTATAAAAATTTTGAAACATTTTAATAACATAAACTTGAATACTATATAGCGTAACCAACGTACACTCGCGGAAAGACCCGCTCTGTCACCCATAATGCCATAATCGCTTGCGGTAGCGGCGTAGTAAAAATTCATTCATAGACATGTAATTATCGCTGTGTTACTTTCTCGTATAGCGCTGTCGCTATCACGATGCGGATGACAAATTGCAACTAAAACAAATGCAATTCAATCAATGAAATGCTCTCTGTCTTACTTTTGTGCGGCGGCCCGAATTGGCGCGTCCGACGCGAAGGCGGGGCGTAGTAAAAACTACTGTAGATAACCGTTCAAAGCATTTTGTTCGCCAAGTGACAGAGCGCAAAATTCCGCGATAATACCTATAAATAAATTATAAAATAAAAAAATGTCACCCCAGCGCCGTCATCAGGAATGGTGTCCAATAGGCTGGCAGCATTGCCGCGTTGGATGGCAAGACTGATCTGTTGAACATGATGGAACGAGCACTTGGACCTCATGGGCCCATAGTCTCAACACCAAACGGAACTCATTGAGAGCTGAATATTTTCGTCGCTTGGAGCACTCGGCAGAAGCCGACTCCGCGCCTGCAGCTAGCTAGGGATGTACTACCTGTTTGGCACGGAGCTAGCATATCCACGCAAGTTGCGTCCCATACAAGAGGACAAACCTGCTTCCAAGGAATACCATTAGGGCTTTAGGCTCAGGAACAGCGATAAGAGCTTTACGGATGGGGTCATTGATGCAGGCGTGGTGGGAGACGGCCTGCGCTCATTTGGTATAAGAGGCCATAGTGACCTAGCTCATTGACTCAAGTACCGCAGCGACAGCGATGGGGATAATTAGTCTTGACGCCAAGTCTAAACGATATCGCAAGGGACAGAGTGCTCTTCTCAAGCGATATCCCTATATTGGTTGAAGGTAAAGCTTGCAGCCAGTAACCAGACTCTGCCTCAAAGACTGCTAGAAGGCGAGCACGCTTTCAGAGAATGCTAAAAGATCACTCTGAATTCGCAAACAGAGCGGCTTGTCCCACTGCCTCTGAGATGATAAAGAGGATGGTGGATCCACTCTCGAACATACCCTAGACCATGAGCTTCTGGCTTCTGCAAGGTGTGCCAACTCCACTACACCCAAAGAAGGGCATAATATTTTATAAAAGAGTTCGGCTGTTCCTTATGCAGAAGACGGAAAAGCGGGAAGGGCAATGTGGGAAATGTAGCAAGTACCAACAGCTCCGAAACGAACAGAGAGAGAGGCCTGCTTACAAGCGTTATCGGTAAATGAGCAATTAAGAATTTTGACACTTGTCCTGGAAAAAGCCAAGAGTACTACGTAAAAAATATATGAATTTTGGGGCGAAAGCGCAAAAACGAATTAAATATAAAGGGGATTAATTTTCAATATTTTTTTCGGAAGACTGCTGTAATTTCGATATTTGTTCATTAATAAAAATAGGAATGGTATCAACAAAAATCGGGGAATCTAGGAGACGGAGTGATTTAGCATCAAGAATATTTATATTAGGACCTAAAGCCGAAAATTTGGTAATAATGTGTTGTAAATGTTCTGGTGAGAATTTTGATTCTGATATAAATAGCTCGCATTTTGAATAATTTAAGTCAAGGCCAATACTTTTGAATTTATCAAAAATGACGTGAAAATCTGAAAGAACGGTTGAAATATCGCCAGCGATGGCCCCATCATCAAAGTACCACACATAAAATTTTAAATTTAGCGAATCAATATTATGTTGTATATAGCCAAACTAAAAATATCCCAGAGGGGATCGCCTTGCTGACAGCCAAAAGATGAATACAACAGTTATTTTTGAAAAGAAGTTAAATTGATTTTCTGTTACATTACCAAAGATAATTATGTTGAAGTTACATAGTAATTTGTTAGTTGGCGACTAAGATGTTTATGTGTTCTGTTTTTTTTTGATAGTTTTGTATGGGTGCCTTGAGTTGAGCTAATTTCCGAATAGCAAACTTAATGGAAATATTCCGAAAATATGTAGTTTTGTTTTGTATGCATCTATACTTATATTACTTATGCTATTTTATTTTCATCTAGATCGAGTATGATGGGAATATGGCAATGTTATGAACCTTGTTTATCCCTATCTTATTCTTATATTAATTAGCAACATTATTCAAATTAGGTTTAAAATCTTTGTAAGTATTCCTATCTTAATGTATCACAATGTGGTTTATGATGTTGCCATCTTTTTGTGTAACACCTGGAAGATTAAAATATGAGTAATTTTGAGGTACACTATGCAAATTAGAATAAAATGTGAAAATATTTCTTTGTTAATAAATCTAGTCAATCAATTTACTTACAATTTTTCAGGGGATTTATACCTATTATTAGAAAAAAAGATTATTTTTATCGTATTTTACAATTATTGTCTTTTAAATGGTCATTATGATTATGAATGGCAATTTTATAAATGTCGTGCACTAAGTGCATGACTCTAGGCAGACAATAAAATGTTGCATATTTTACTTTTGTATAAATCATGTTGGAATAATATTTTGTAATTTAAAATAATATCAACTTTAATTTAGATTTAAATGGGAAGAAAATGTAAGTAATGTGTTTAGTAATATTTAGGCCATTTTACCTTTTTTATTACCAACATATAATGTCGTTGTTCATGTATTGTATAGTTTAGGCATAAACAAAAATTGTAAATATGAATCGTAAAGCATAAATTCTAAAGTGTTGTACATAAATTCTTATTAGTTTATTATACTTTGTTTTTACCATCTGTGATAACGAGTACAGTATATAACAATTATTAATTATGCGTATCTTATGTAATTAAAAGATTTCAATGTTTGGCATTATATCCATACTTTGTGTAATTTACAGATCCCAATAGGTTAGTAAAAACTTCTTAGAAATGCATAATGTAGAATTTTCTCTTAAATTTCGATAGATACTCCTTCCATTTTCAGAACTTCCATAAGTCTAAGAATAAGGTTTTTTTTTTCAATAAATTGAAAACTATTCTTAGGTGTCAGTAAAGGCACTTATAAAATCGTTAGCAATTTCTTTTCACAGCAATGCAGTAATGAATAATAATCTTAACAATATATTATTACGATTGTACTCTGTTTCCGCTACAAGGTATATATGTAGCTAGAAATATAACTGACAACAGCATTATCAGACACAGACTGCACACAGAGATGTCAAATCAATTTGAGTTGGATTTTTAAGATGGTGGATATTATGGGCCGGTACCTTACACCTCGGTCGTCCCGCCCTAAGGACAGTTGGGAAAAAATGTTCCATCGAGCCCGGTAGCGCCGACCCCGTCGTCGTCACTTACGATTCAGCCAGGGTAAGATGGTAATAAATGATCGCTCCAATTTCTACGTTACCTCTTGCGAAATCAGGCTGTGTTTCCCCCAAATATGTGCGAGTACGCGTAGCGAGGAATGTGTTTGTAAAAAACCAATACAGCTCCTAACGGGGCGGTTAGCATAAGCCATAGCTTATGCTCCAATATGTCTGCTAACCACCCCGTTAAAAAAAACACTAAATATGATACTTGATCTGTGCCATCCCCCCCATTAATGACGGAGTCGGGGCTACCGAGGTTGATGGAACATTTTTTCCCAACTGTCCCGTTAACGGGGCGTGACGACCTGGGTAGATGGTACCGTCCCGGATATTACTTTGACAAGGATTAAATCAATTGTCATCTCTGTGTAATCGTTAAAGTTTATCCTTTCTTAAAATATTTACTATCCTGTATTATTGTGTCTATACAGATCACCACCACCACCACCACCACCATCAGCCTATTAATGTCCCCACTGCTGGGGCACAGGCCTTCCCTATGGATGGAATAGGGAGATTGGGCCATGACCCGCCACGCGGGCCCAGTGCGGATTGGTGGGTGCTAACGACTGCAAATGCAGCCGGGACCAACGGCTTAACGTACCTTCCGAAGCACGGAGGAGCTCGAGATAGTGATTTTTGGTCACCTATCCAATGACCGACCACTGCGAAAGTTGCTTAACTTCAACGATCGCAGCGGAACGCGCTAGCCACCTGCGCCATCGAGCTCCTCAGATAACAATCCATCTATACAGATAACAATCCATAACGCAAACTTTAAACAATTGTTACTTGTAATTCCGAATTAAAAAATTAAAAACTCATGCCTGTGCAATAATAGGGATTCCAGCCCCCGTAGCATGAGCATCACAATTTACATCATATCGCATCTAAATCCATAATTATTTGACAAATGAGCGTGATAAGAACGAGTTATATATCATATCGCAGTGCTTATGCTAGGGGGCATATGAATAAAATGAACACTATTGTGTACCCAAGTAATAACAAAAAAGGAAATCAAAGTCTTTCTCTATTAGTCACATAAAAATTATAAATGCTTTTTTACATGATATTACAAAAGACTTGAAACCATTCCTAATGTTATTGTACTCGTAGATTAAAGATATCATCATCATTTCTGTATACACATGAGTGCCATCAACAAAATGTATGACTCTGTACTAGAAGATAAGTAATAGTTTTAAAATTAAATGTTGTTACGGTGTTCAGTAAATAGTCTATGAAGTAGAGCAAGGCTCATTCATTTCTAGTTTTTTAGAAAATAAGTCATAAATGTGATAACATTGAGATTTATAAAAATAGTATGTTGCAGTGTGTATTTTTTGTTTTAGAGGTCACTAGTGTTTTTCTGAAAAATATCTCATTATATAAGTGTGCCAATGTAAAATTATGATAATATCACTTTTTGTTATTTTTTCTATTTTATTTGATATTATAGTATTTCTAATACAAATATTTATAAATAGTATAAATGTAACATTGTTACCTTTGGTTAATAATAATAAATGTAATTAAGTTTTGTTTTTACATTAAAATAAAACTGACTGTTCAACATTGACATTTTATTTACCGTTCGCCAACACACTATATACATTGATTTTTTACATTAGTATAACATTTGACTGATAAGTAAAGGCACATGTTACCAAATGTTGAGTGCAAAGTAAAATGATTTATTAAACATAAATGGTACCCACAGGACAGGTGTCCAGTATCCAGATATTACAGAAACTTTAAAATAGCTTGGCCAGAAACCATATCATGTTAAGGAAAGCTCACATCTATTGCAATTTTAATGTACTATATGACTACAAACATATTTATTTAAATATCCAAGAAATACTGTTGCTACATACATATAAAGTAAAAACGGTATTTCTTTAACTTTTTGCTTCCACAGATCACTTTCATAATTTAAAACAATCCAGAAACCTATAAAATAGTTCAAAGAAAACCATGGGAAAATTAAAAATCCTCAACTACAAATCACTTATTGGCACTGAATTAAATTAATGCTCATATGTTAAGGGTTCAACTGAACAACTACACAGCTAAAACATGTCATTATCCCAAAAAAATTAACTTCTAGTGCTTTCTCGAAAGGTAGGCTAGACAAAACATAGTTTAAAAGTAAAGTAATTTAATAATACATTTAGGAAGCTCAACTTCCCTAGAATAGTCTGCAGTACCCTTACCTTATCTTGCAAAGAATCTAATTGCTAACCTGTGACATAATAACTATGAAGCATTTGTAAGTAAAAAAAAATGTTTTATTAAAAAAGTTTTGTTATTTAAAACATAAAATAACTGCTGAATGAACAATTATATTAATTTTAATTATTAAATTAGAGCCACAATAAAGATCAGCTAATCATCAAAAATATTAATCTCCTCTGAGTTTTTCATGAACGGGACACTTGCACATAAGAATTGCATTTCATGCTGGATAGTTTTAATTGAGTCACTGGTTTCAGTATACCTTGATAATTGATCCAATACCTCCATGTCTTTTTTAGCAGTTTCACACACTTTTTCTAGTGTTGTTAGCTCTTCTTCTTCTGCTGTGAGTAACGCTTCCATTAAAGCTCCACGCTCAACACTTTTCCGAAGCAAGGCTACTTCATCTTTTAATTTTTCGTAATCTGCATCAGACAAATCTTGGAGTTGCACTTCATCTTCACACAATAATACATTTTGAGGAATTTCTAAGACCCTCTCTATCTCTTTATCAATTATCTCCAGAGAAGGACCAGCACGTTCACAGTAAAGTCCGATTAGTTTATCACAGGAACGTGTTAATGTAGACTTATCAGTATCATTAAGATCCAGTGATTCATGCAAATATGATTCCATATCTTTTACCCCTGTTTTGATCTTTTGTTCAACCATTTGGCGTACCGCAATTTTGAGACGCTGTGCACCAAAACCGAAATGTTGCGTTTCATATTCTTCTTCTGTTCCACCACACCAAGGAGATGTTTTGATCATTTTGTTGCAAAAATTATAAAGAATATCAATCAAAATCAAACGGACTCTGTTACTTCGTCACATTAATATTTGAATTAGTGAAAAACAAAAAATAACGCTAAAAGCAAAACAAACAGCCGCTGAATTTCAAATAAAATTGACGTATATTTTTTTATAACATTTTCTCCTTATAGGAAGACAAAAGATACTACGTCCATGCAGCCTTGACTTTTGTTATATTTGAATGCGAGTGTGACCCCCTTGATAGAACTATTATCAATAAATTATGAAAAATCGGCATTCACATGACAGATCAAAATAATATTTATTAAAATAGAAAACAACGGTTGCTATGACACACACATGACAATGAAAATAGGGTAAACAAAATTATAAAGAGTATTTATTTATCAAAAGAATATAAACTCCTTTAGCATCCTCCCTTTTCGGCAACCCTCATTGTATCAAGCCTATGTGCATAGGAATTGACACAATCCGTGGCTTATACAATGCCTTAGTTAGCAAATCTGCTAACTGGAACTCGCTGGGAATATACTCCACATGTACAGTTTGTCTATAAAGTCGTGACATGAATGTTTGAGGAACTAACATTATTCATGTGTCTGGCAACACCAAACTGATGTACATCAGCTGTCATCGAGTTTCAGTTGTGGAACAGTTTTTTAATAAATTAAGACGAAACTACGCAGAAAGGTATAAAAATGAGTAAAGTAAATCGGAGTGGTACGCGGGAAGTGATTTTTAAAGTTTTCCAGCGATGTTTCCAAGACTACCAAGCTGGACGAATTTTGTGGGATTTGGATGATGTTTATGGGCGAACGGCATCTATTACGGGTATGTAATCGTGTAACTATTTGTTTGTAATCTGCCTGAAGTTACAAATTTACTCAATTTACAATTTTGAGACCAATAGTAATATTGTAGTACGACCATTTCTTTTGATACGTTATTATGGTTCAACTCGGTCACGTTTTCTACCAAATTTGAATTAACTGCTTCATGTCAATAAGTTATTGTTTCTTTTCCGTTACATATTTTTTTTTACTTTTTTTCAGGAAAATCAGAGTCGGATAGTCAACGAAGGTTTTAAGAATGATGGAAAGTTTGAAACTCCTGGGAAAACAGACAAGGCCGACCAAAGAAAGAAATGGTCACATAAAGAACCATGGCCAGATGCTTTTAGTGAATATACCTATCACTAATTTTACTAACTGCACATTAACAAATTGTTTCTCTAAATAAACTTTTGATATACTATAAAATAATTTTTAGTATTATTTTCTTAACGTTTTTTAACACACTTGGTGTTAAAAAACGTCGTGATATACTTGTGTATTTGTGTGTATTAATGATTACCTAACGGCTCTAGTCTCAATGGCACCTCAGCGGTAATCACCAAAATTACACACTTACACTATAAAGTACTATTTTATCTATAATAATTTTATTCTGAATCAATTAAATATGCTTGGCTAAACTTTTTATAAGCATAGGTACCTACTATATATAAAACAGAAACAAAATACGACTGTATAGTGTGTCTTATTAATTACCTATTTTACTTGAATGAACTGCTAGTATCAAAATCATTTTGGTCCGACTGTATAGGGTTGCTACATGCATACTAGTGGCGCCATCATTTAATGTCACGACTTTATAGACAAACTGTATTTCACCTTCAGTGACGAGTTCTCTGATCTAGAAATGTCTTAGACCAATATGTTTAGTTCTTCTGTGGAGTTCCGGGTTATGTGAGATTTTTATAGCGGCATCATTGTCCACCTTGAGCTTGGGAACCTCTTTAGATCTGAAATCTCGCTGAAAAGTCTTTTAATCCAGACAACCTCTCGTGCTGCTTCACTCGCTGCGATCATCTCTGCTTCGGTGCTGGATATTGCTACACAGGTTCGTCTTCCACTCAGCCAAGATATTGCTCCTCCAGAATATAAGCATATTATCCCTGATGGTGACTGTCCGATAGTATTGTCTCCACCGTAGTCAGAATCACTATAACAATCCAGAAGGCCAGTATTGAAATTCCTCTTATAAAGACAAGTCAGGTCTTGTAGCGACTGTTAGGTATGTAAGCGCACCAACAGCTTCTCTATAAGGATATATTATTGGATTCTGTTCTTTATCGCTATCTGCTATTCCATCCTTTTGCATAGGACTACTGACAGGCTTGCAGTCGCTTATTTCAAATCTATCCAACAATTTCTGAGCATAATGTTTCCATACAGAAACGCGGTAGAACATCAAATTGTGTGAGTTTTAATCCTTCATTTGCAGCTACACTTAAGATTGATCTTATCGTTGTCATCCTAGCAACAGGACTGAATGTCTCATCATAGTCGATGCCCTTCTTCTGTGTGTAACCTCGAGCTACTAACCTAGCTTTGAATTTATCAAGAGAGCCATCTGCATTGGTTTTGATTTTATACACCCCTTTACAGGATATAGACTTTCTATCTTTGGGAAGATCAATAAGTATCCATGTTTTGTTTTCCTTTAAAGACTTCACCTCACTTTCCATTGCTTTGACCCATTGATCTTTCTGAGGACTAGTCATTGCTTCGTTATAGGTCTTGGGTTCATTTATTCATTAACATTAGACATAATCATCGAATCGAGTAGGTGGTCGTAGTTGACTTCTATCTCGTAGAATCATTCTAGGTGTTACCTCTAGTGAGTCATCTAAATTTTGTAAATCATCAGCTTTGTCAACATCATTATCATCGAAGGCTTCACATGTTGACGGTATTGATAGTGTTATAGTTGGTGATGGTTCAGTAGGGTCTTGGCTTTCTTCTTCCTGACTTACGTCCAAACGAAATGATGTGGAAGGCATAGTTAAGCTCTGCTCTTGATGACTGTTTGCTGTAATAGTCTCAGACTCAGTGCGATTACTGCTCTCATTGCGAATATCTTCCCTTGCATTTCACATTGGTGATGCTGTAAGCGGTATGGTGACTTCGATTGAAGGATGCTCTTCATCGTCATCTAATCCAGTCGACTCTAATACCGATTCATCAAAGATTACATCTCTTGACCTCACCAATTTACCATGCTTATTCAGTAAGCGATAGCCTTCATCACCATCATACCCAATTAAGATACATTTCTCTGCCTTCTTAGACAGCTTTGTTCGCTTTGGTTGAGGAACGTGAACGTAACATTCACATCCGATAACTTTGAGATGTTTAATTACTGTTTTTTTTTAGACCACAACTCAAATAATAATAAAGTCAGATTTCCTTGAAATTTGGTATGAATTTTCAACACAATTAATGAAATTGGTATATAAATCTAAAAAAAACTAGATAAATAAAAAGTCTAGTAGTTAATTGCTTCAAATAAAAATATAATTCTATAGGTACATAATATATCAGCGTTAAAATTGTTTTATTCATATTCTCCTACAATTAACACTGTCTTGAAATGATAACATCGATATGATAAATGCCTTGAAGGGCGACTCTATCGGCAAAAGGAACTGTTAGAAACATTGATAAAATGCACTATCACAACCCACAGAAATACGTAGTAAATGGTAAATTCTGCATAAATTTTTCATAAACTATGTGTAAGAAAGCCAAACTGTAAGGCATTTAAAGAAAAGTTTACTAGAAAAATATCCACGCGGACCAGGCAGCGGACGGGACTCGAACCCGCAACCTTCGCAATCCGGGCGAATGCACTGACCATTATGCTACCACGGCCCTATTCGCCGCGTCGAAATTCTCCTAGCTTTTAAGCTGCAAGGTTTTTTGTTTTTCTAGTAAACTTTTCTTTAAGATTTAAACATCTAGCAGTTAAATGCTTAAAAATAAATAAAAACATAAATGTAAGGCATTTATTATATTGTTTGGTATATTCGCATAATAATAATACGTAAATATACGTATAGTATTGGGCGAATTTAGCCTTTTTTACCCGGCTGCGCAATGCAAGAGTGCGAAGCGCGACGCGCAGACAGGGTTATGTGTTTAACAGTCTATTTAAGTATGTTTGTTCCTTTGTGGCACACTAGAGACCAAACGCCTGGACCGATTTTGATGATTCATACATCAATCGATTCGTCTCAATCATGGGAGTGCTACTAAAGATATGATCGTAATCAAAATTCAATATGGGCAAAATTAGGTGCCATATTGTGACGAAGTAAAAAAATAAGTTGACAAAATATGTCGAGTGGGGTATCACTGTCTAGATAATCAAAAATCATATTTAGGTTCCTAACACCATTTTTCATTTTATATGATTGTTTAGGATCTACAACGCTTTAAAGTTGTATATTAACAACTTACGCTTTTAATTTCAATCTTACGTTTGTTTGGATCTTTGTTACTCTTTCACCTAAAAAATACTGAATGGATTTTAATGAAACTTAACAGTAATATAGCTCATATATGATAATTACATATATATAATAATTTATGTAGTTATTGAGTGATTTGGCCAATATATAACAATAAGTGTCACATAAGACGGAAAAAAATCTCCCATCTGCGAGCCATTTTGGCTTGTATTGCAAAAACAATAAAAGTTACATGAATGTAATGTAGAGTGAAAATGTATCTCTTAAATAGTTCTAAAAAAAAGTCCGTGACACCATACATCTATTTTTAATGTGTAAGTCATTACCGCTAAAATAGTGGATCAAAACTAAAATATTATTTGATAGCTATTTCCAAAATGCACATTTTGTATTAACAAATCATTTTTTATCTAAACTAATACTTTTATCGCTTTTGATTTTTAAAGACGATAAACTTTGCTTTTTACACTATGTCATTTCGACAAATATTTGAAAAGTTACAACGATGTCAAAGTGATAGCGCGGTGTACTATGTAAAAGAAAATAAAATGGGGTATTCGCGGTATCTGATCCTATACGAAGTACTAACAATAAAACTGTTATACAGTTCCTTCAAATTAAATGATGAAAAATATATTATCGTAATGGGTATTTATGATTATTGAATTTTAATGAAAAACTCAGAATTTTACTGTTTTTCATTTTTTTTAACGATATTACTTAATGTTACAAAAAAGGTTTACTTAATATAATGACAAATAACCCATTTTTCGCTAGTAAGTACATACTTATTGGAATCCCTGTATTTATTA